TTGATACCAACCTAAATAGTGTAAAGTTTTGGTGAATTCAACGGTGTGATTAAACCAGCGGAAACGGTATACCATTGCAACCGAGATCGCCAGAATGTTGCACACATTGCGGCCGTAACCACCACCACCACCACCACCACCGAAGCCACCAACACCAACACATCAACCACCACCAACAACAATAAGAACAACAACAACACCATCATCACCACACAACCATCACAACCACTACCACAACTAGAACCACCGCCAACACCAACCGCCACCACCACTGCCTGTCTTTTCGGCCCATGTTCCATTTGTTTTGTTTACTAAAACGGTAATCATGAAAAGCTGATTTATTGGATGCTTTTGTACTGAGTCATTCCTCTCAGTTTGTGTGGACAGTGTATCGGTTTTCACAAAGATCCTATACTCATACAATGTCTTTTAGTAATTATCAATCTACGCATCAATTAAGTTAGTTTACTATTTTTTGAGGTTAAATGAATTGGATCTGTGTTCCAATCAAACTTCTCCTCATCTGACTATAGTCCATATTCATTGAGTGTTTTCAATAGTTCGATTGAATAGTGCTCAACCATACGCTTTTAGAAATACGCCATTGAGGATTATACAGCACTTAATAGCAGCACATGAGAAAATCGTATCACAAGACTGCTAGTTGCACCAACTGTCGTTCATAGGACAAGGCTTACCGATTGGCAATTTTCACCTGTAATGTGGCATTTCCCAACAATTCGCGGGATACCAAGCGGGCAGACGGTTTCGGATAGCCGAAATAGAGACGTGTTGGAGACCAACCAATCGGTGTATTGATTCCATTCTCATACTGCGGAGCAAGTAAACGTCGGAATGGAGTCAAAGCCGCACCCCAACGGGGATGATTGAAATTGTTGCATGAGCCATCGATCGATCGATAACGCAGATGGAAGCACAGCTGACGTGAACACGGATCAATATTGCTGGATTGTTGACAACCAGATAGTTGAGAAATAATGGCCAGTTGATCTGCACTTAGTTTAACCCCAAGTGCTTCACGAGATTGTGGATCACGATCAATATCAGGCATTGTATCCCCGGGATCCGGAGAGCCTTCGATTTTTAATGATTGTTCATTTCGTTGTCTTAGAATACTAGTCACTTCATCAATTGCTGCCTCGTATACTTCAGCTGCTTTAGCCAATTCCAAGGCAGCTTGACTGGGTTGACGAAACAGGGAAGCCACATCAGATGAAGAACGTCGACGAGTTGGATCACGCAAACGTTCAGCTGTCTTCCTTATGGCTGCCTCAATTCGAACACGTGCTTTATCAATCACATGACGAACAAGTTCATCCCCCTGTAGGGCTTGTAACTCTTCTGGACTGGTATAACGAGGACCAGGTGTATGACCGGAACTCGATTCAGCCTCAACGGAATGAGACATCTCGGTACCTTTCTCTGCTGCCATAGCTTCATGACGTGGTATCACACGTATCACTGTGGAAACACGTGCACTCCCGATTCGATTAGACGCATAACAGATATATCGACCGTGAGCATCTGCCTGGGTGACATTACGAATGAGTAGAATACTCTCGGTCTCAGCAGCCTCGGCACTGGCCAAAATCATCGAATTGGTTGAATAGATTGTGGCATCCGCGGGCACCGTGGTCTGCACCCCGGACGCAACAGATCGAACAATATAACGGCCACCGGTAACCAAATGTAACGGCAGTGTTTCTTCCTGCCATAACCAAGATATTCGTGGCCGTGGACGTCCGTAGGCGGAACAACGCAATTCCATATCCGAGTGCTCGACCACACGATTATTGTCCGCTGGCGGTGCATCGGTAATTCGTGGTTTAATTGGTTCGATCAGGCGTAAGGTGGCATCCGCGGACATGTACTGACCGTGTTTGTTAGACAATACACAGGTGTACGTGCCTTCGTGATAGTCATGTGATTCTACAATCTCCAAAATCTGGTTCCCGGACGGGGTTGGATGAAGAAAGAACAAAATGTAAACCGTGATTTGGCTGAGTACCATTTTCGTGAATGAAAGACAACGTCATGCATTAGAATCAGAGAAAAACAGAACCAACTCTGTCCATCCAGACAGATATGTACACATCTTTGGCAACGGTAGCCCCAGGGTGAATGTGTGTTGGGAATCCCGTCTCGACCGCCTGAATTTCCCATTATGGTAAGCCTTGGATTTACAATCTCCCCCGCTCTTGAAAATTGTATCTTTGTATATTCAATACAAGGAGGTGAAAAAATGAGGCCAGATAAAGAAAATTCTTTGTTGCCTAACTGGGAGAAATACATTGTACAGAATCTGAGGAGGGGTGTAGAATGAGGTTTATCTAGGTTCAACCGTGCCACCTTTCACCCTGTCCCGTCTCGTGGCATGGTTATGGTTCGAATCCATACAGGATGAAAAGATATACAGCCTACGAATACGGTTCAGTGCAGACCACGTCTGACTACATCAATGACGTTTTTCTGAAGGTCAGGAGGCTCACGTTTTATGTTTATCGTCTTAAATTACTTTCCATTCCGAACCATCTTATAAGGTGTTCTGCTTTTTGCGTGCGTTTTGCCTCACTGTCTTTATGGGTTCCCTGTTACCTTCCCCGGTCTTTTGAACAGGGACCTCAAACTCATTTCCCGATCTCTCAAATTTCTGTCAGTTTGTAGTCTCATACCACGGGAACATCTAATACAGTATGCCCTGTAAAACATACTCCAACAAGATTTTATCTGACATCCCTCATCCTCTTTATTTCGCCCTCAGTCAGTGCCTTTCTCACTCATCCACC